CCCCAAAACCCCAAAACCCCAAAACCCCAAAACCCCAAAACCCCAGAAGATAAATTACTAGCAAAAATATAGCATTGATAATTATAATAGTAAATAATGGAGCAAGCTCATCCAGGGAAATATATAGGATCAATTCAGGATAGCATTAGTGGTAAAGGCACCTACGTCTACTTAAAGGGAATATACTCTTCATAAAAGGGATTTGTGTGCTAGATTAAATAAGATGATGGCAGAAATAGGATTGAAGTGCGTAATGAAGAACAAAAAACTAGTGCAAAAAAAAGCATCAATAATTAAAGCAATTTAGGAGATATTAATGATGCTTCTAAAATTGCTCTCAACACCTTAGGTTAGCCATAAATTGGAGAGATAGTCTATGCAAAGATCACAAGAGTAGAGTAGAATTTTGCTAGAGCTGATATATTATCAGTCGGCAGTACAGCCCTCAATACTATATTCCAAGGCATTATGTTCAAGGAAAATGTAAGGAGCTATGATATTGAAAATTTAGATATGCTGAAATGCTTTAAGCCGAATGATGTGATTAAAGCCAAAATAGTGTCTTAGTAAGGTGCAGGCAACTAAAACTCGACATTACTATCAACAGTAGAGGACGAACTTGGAGTGGTATTTGCTAGGAGTGAAGAAAGTGGTTATTTAATGATTCCCAGATCCTGGAATGACTTTTAGTGTGTCAAAACAAAGAAAAAGGAAAAGAGAAAGGTTGCTAGGCCAGAGTTAAGCAGTAGTAGCTAATTGTAGAATATCAATGAAGATATGCAAGTAGATGAATGAATATATTAATTTGTGATTCTAATGTTGATTCCTTGGTCAAGTTAATTAATAATTAATTTTAATTTAATAACAGACTTAAAGTCATCAATAAATTATAAAATGTCCCACGAAAAGGATATCACTCTGTTCTCTAGATCAGGTAAACAGACTAATTACTAGTATCTGTGTTTCAGCAAGAAAAAAGAAGAAGAGGAAGAATTGGTAAAGCCGAAGTTGACAAAAGAAGAGAAAATAATTGCTAAGATGCCAAAAGAAATACTCTATGAAAAAGTAAAGGCAGATTTATAGGGGAAAGAGACTAATATCATCAAAGAATATATATGTATGTACTAAAATTATGCATCATTTTATCTATGATTACTTTATAGAGTAGGAAGAGCGAAGAAGAAAATAATAGTTTAAGGAAGCTGTTAAGAAAATGTAGAAACCTCCATTGATAAAACCATAACTGTAGGGTGATTAGCAATAACTTCAGTCTTAGTAAACTGGCTTAGAAACCACCTAAAATTAGCAATAAGTTTATTAAAACCTCTAACCCTTGCCTTAGCTAGGACCTTAGGCCACATCTCCAGCCTAATAAATGAATTCAACTTAACACACATTGCATGGAGAGAGTAGGAATTAGACTATCAATCAACAAAAGAAGTAATTGTTTAAAGGTCAAAGTTCTAGCTTCAGATCTGTGCCCCGAGAGCAAGTATCATTTGTAAGTAATATTCAACCTAAATTCAAATCTAACCTCCAACTGATAGTTGTATAAAACAAACCCAGATGGAAATGGAGAATTCAAGTATAATCCAAAGATGTCTGTAGTGAAGAGAAAACTTGCCAGTGACTTCAAGTTCAACTACGGGGAACCGGCTTAACCTAGAATTAAAAATGAGGAAGATCATCTTTGCACAAAAGGAAACGAGTAAACAATAAATTCTTAACTTTAATTAGATCATGCCTACATTCGGTCAACAGAGCTAAGAGTTTAATGAATAAATTTAAGTCATAGATAAATAACCTTAATTAAGGTGATGGTTATAACGACCTAGAAAGTTCACCAATGAGAAAGTATTAAGACATGTCAATTTACGAAATTAATAATGAGATTAAAAACAAAAATAAAGAAGTAATGTAATATCTGGAATAGACTAATGTCCTTATCGAAAGTCAAATAGAGCAGTAGGGGAAATTTTAAAAGATAAGGTCACCAGTGTTAATGGATAAAAAAAGAAATAGAAAATCTATATTTGAAGAATTGCAAGGCCCTCATGAGGGAAGATTTGAACTTATCAATATAAATCCCTCAGTCCTTTCCACTTATGTGAATCCTAATCCACCTGACTTTAAGAGATATGGGATAAGAGAACATTATAAATAAGAATAAGATAATCCTAAGAATTTAAAGCCCTAGCCTTAGTATGCCCCAAATTATGAGTACAATAAAAAGTCATTGGCATTAGGCCAAAATAATTTTGATAAGTAAACTGATAGAGAATAACAGATCAATTACTATATTGGCAAGACAAGAAACGACTAAAATATTGGCCAATTCCACTATACAGATAAAGCCCACTTAGCCTTTAATAAACTATCAAATGTAAGAGAAAACAACTCAATTATTGATTTTACCAAGTCTGCTGCTAGAGATAACTCAATGTATATGCTGAGTGATGGCTATAATTTAGATTAAAAGCAAGACTCCTTTCTTGATAAGATTCTAGACTTGGGTGTTCATCAGAGAAAGAAGGTCTCACATATAGTATCAGACGTTTTAAATTACCGTGGTGATAATAGCATTGGAAGTATGATGCATCTTAACTCTACTGGAACTGATTCGTTAGTACTATAAAATACTATGGAATTGGGGAAGATTGAGAGAATATACAGGCTGGGAAAAAACAAATATAAAATATTGAACGATAAAGGATTTAGCAAAGAAATGGGTAAGGGTCTAACTTCAGATGACGTAAGGGGCATGACATTGGAATAAAAGCTTTTGTCTGGCTATTATACAACAACCAATGAAAATATTGAAGCAGCAAAGGCTATTGATACTGATAGAAGAAGCAAGAGCACCAAGAAACCTTCGCTTAATCTATCAGCTATTTGAAGTTTTGATTTTTATTTTGCAAGACAATCACTGATTATTATTCATTAAGAAAACTGCATTGAATTGATGATGGGGTTTTGGGGTTTTGGGG